TAGCCTAAGGTATAAAACACCCCAGGGATTCGAGAATGGGGGAAGCTGTGGTCCAAGAGTGAGTTCTGTGATCTTTGGTGAGCTTAAATAGTCCAATCATACGAACGGAGCCCTAATCAATGTTATACCCCATAGTTTCGATCTGAGAAAATAAGGAGGATATAAGGTTGGCTGATAATTACCTAAGTAAAGATATGATGTGTCACACGTGTTAAATGTTGGCAAGTCACATGAGTATGGGTCATGTCACATGTATGAGAATATGGTGACAATACACCTGGTTATGAAAGTTAAAGATGTTATTTAATGATAATCGACAAGTTATGTTATATGCCAGCATGTTTTACATACTTGATTTCCTTGTGTATCTATTTGGTTTATAATTGATATATAACTGTATAGGGTAGGTTTATCCTTAGTTATTGAGAAGCTAGACTCACCCCTTTTCTTTAACATTTTTCAGACTCTAGCTTTGGTGTTGAAAGGGAGAAGACTAAAGAGGCAAGGAATTAGCATATTCCTACTGTATGCCTCTAGTTTAGATTTAGTTGTGTAATAGTACATATGATTTGCCAATTCTAAGATGCATATTACCACACTTGCACTATTTTAATTGTTGGAAATGTTAGAATTGTATTTTGGGCCCATAGCCTTTGTATACCTAGAGATATATATATATATATATATATGTTTATAGTGCCAAAATACTAGTACAAGTATAGAAATAAAGATTTTAACATGTTTGAAATGATTTAAGTGAAATGCAATGAAAAATTACCTCCCCGTCTGTTTTTGGTAAAATGGGGTTGAGGAGTGACTTTTTGTTATAATGATGTTTCAGTGCTTGTGATATGTTGTACTAGTAGTTCTAGGTCCATTAGACATAGTCCAGGTGCTTGGAAAAGCATTTAGCACTTGTTGAGGGTTTTGGATACCTATTTTGTGTAAAAGTGTTAAAAAGTGGTTAAAATGTGTTTAGGTATCCAACTTTCTAGTGTGACTTATTTTGGATGTGAAACCCATGCCATTGGTTAGTTCTTCCATAGACACCTAGATCAAGTCATTTGAACATCAAACAGAGAATCAGGGCAAGTTAAAAGTTCCTTGATTCTGCTGTCAAATGAGAGCAGAATTAGCAAAAATTTTGCACAACACGCCGTGACGCATAGCATAGAAAGCAACATATCACTGCGCAGCGTGCATGAGCCGCAGCATATTACTTTGTATTACAGCACATATTTTATTTTTCAACCATTTTTTACTTCTTTCACTCCTCTGACGTATCCCATGCTTCTGAAACTTATTTTTACTTTGATATGAAAGGTTTTGATTAATTTTAACTTGTTTCTATTTAGAAAATTTAGGATCCCTTACTTTTAGATTAAATCCTGATAATCACTTTTTGAGCTAATCCTTCGATTACGATGAGCTTTATTTGTTAAGGGTGTTCAGTGGAGTGAGAACATTTCAACTTGGTATCAGTTTCTCTTATTCTAAAAGCTAGTTTGCAGTTTGTGTGAATGAGTAGTGGAGATTTGTTATGCATTGCATGTAGAGAATTGGAAATATCCTATTACACTTGTTATTTCCTTCACTGAGCTAGTGCTAACTCGCTTTTTCCTTTTGGAATTGCTTCCATCCTTAGGAGGGGAAAATATAATGCAAACAAGAGCCACAAACATAGAAAATGTACTAAAAAATGTGTAAAGACCGAAACAAGAACTTGTGAACTAAGACTAATAACCAAGACCTCAATAGGGTAACGAAGATAATGCCCTAGATGAACTGAGGCATATGATGATGGACATCCAAAGGAGAATGGATGGTTATGACAAGATCCTCAGAAGAAGACCTAGGGAGTGTAGCAAGACTATAGAGAGAGTTAGGGTTGACCAAGAGGAAGCCTGAGATGATGTGCACGCCGAGGTGCATGGACATATACACGAGGAGTATTATGAGGAAAGTAATCCTGAGAGGCCGGTGCAACTAGCGTGGCCTAGGATAAGTGAGTTGGAAGGCTTTATTGATATGGCTTTGAAGTGATTCATGAGGTTGAATCCTCCTTCTTTTGAGGGTTCTATGGAGGATCAAGCAACTGAAGAGTGAATTGACAGGCTTGAGACCATCTTCTCAATCATGACCTGTATGACTGAGCAGAGGGTCCTTTTAGCCACTTTCATGCTTGAGGATACAGCAAAATGGTAGGAAAGTATAAGGCTAGTGGATGGCTTGCAGCTGACATGGATAGAGTTCAAGAGGTGATTCTTTGCCTACCACTTCCCAACTCATTTCGAGCAGAGAAAGAGGCAGAATTTCATAGACTCTAGCAGGGAAATATGAATGAGGAGGAGTTTATAGTGAAGTTCAATGGGCTATCAAAGTACTCCACTTATTTGAGTCATCATGATGATAAGTATTGGAAGGCCAAACAATTCCTTGATAAGATAAGGCTTAAATTTAGGCAGCAGTTAGCTGCCTTTGACATTACTTCCTTCGAGGTTATATGCAACAAGTTCAAAGCAATGGCCAGAAGTAGTAGAGTGGTTGAGGAGAAGAAGAGTGATGGTCGAGGGAGATTCTCTTCCTATACAGGCCCTAGGAGCAGAGTGAGTAACAAGTCAGGTTTTAACTCAAGTATGTCTGGGAGGTACAGTGCTGGAGGAATCAAGAAGAAGAGCTTCCAGAAGGGGTCCCAATCTAGGGGATCTAACCACAGGAGCAATGCCTTGAGGAATATGGGCGAGGTCAGAAATTAAACTTTCCTACAAGGATCTATAGCTCCATCTGCTATGATGCCAGCTAGAGCTCCGCAGTGCAACAGATACGGGAAACATTACCAAGGGCAATGTTGGGTTTGATTTAAATGCAACAAGGTGGGACACATAGCCAAGTTTTGCCTAAAGAACATACCCGCTTCTAATCAGAGATCCGCTATCTCAAGACGAGTCTTTACCATAACTAGAAAAGAGGCTGAGGCTTTAACAAAGCTGATTAAGGGTACAATCTCTCTATGTGCTCACTAGATAGATGCTTTATTTGATTCTAGTGCCACACACTCTTTTATATCTAATGAGTGTGCCAAGAGACTAAAATTGCATGTGCTTGAAATGCCATTTGCCATGAATGTGTCTACACTGGCTGGTGTATCTATGAGGACCAGTCAGGCTTGTTTGAAACTAAAATTGAAGTTTGGTGTCACTGTTATTGACTTAATCTGCTTACCTTTGAGTGGCATTGATATGATAATAGGGACAGATTAGTTATCTGCCAATGGTTCGATACTTGACTGTAATAGAAAGACAGTCTCCTTACTAGTTTACATAGCGACGGCTGTTAACCCTGAACCTGTCAAGTGAGTGGATTGTGAGACTCCCAAGTTCTTGACAGCCCTACAAGTAGAGAAGTCAATGAAAGAAGGGTGTTAGGTTTTTATGATCTACTATTCTACACATGAAGTGTACGATAAGGTAATTGATAGAATTTGTGTGGTGAATGAGTTTCCAGAGGTGTTTGATAATCGAATGTCAGGATTGCCACCAGAGAGAGAAAGATTGAATTCTTAATTGATTTATTACCCAGTACTGAGCCAATCTCTAAGGCTCCGTGTCGGATAGCTCCTGTAGAACTAAAAGAATTAAAAAGGCAGTTAGAAGAGTTGCTAAAGAAGGGATTCATTCGGCCAAGTGTATCACCATGGGGATCACTTGTGCTGTTTATGAAGAAAGATAGGAGTATGAGGTTTTGCATTGACTATAGAAAACTCAACAAAGTGACAATTAAGAATAAATATTCGTTGCCACGGATTGATGATTTGCTTGACTAACTTGCAGGAGCTACAGTTTTCTCTAAAATTGATTTAAGGTCTGGATATCACCAGTTGAGGGTTAAGGCAGATGATATGCCTAAGATTGCATTCAGGACACAATACAGGCATTATGAATTCTTAGTAATGCCCTTTAGTCTAACAAATGCTCCTACAATCTTTATGGACTATATGAACAGGATCTTTAGGCCCTACTTAGACAAATTTATAGTAGTTTTCATTGATGACATCTTGATATACTCTAAAGATGAGGAAGAACACACAAGACATCTAAGGATAGTACTGAAAGTGTTGAAAGAGCACAAGTTGTATGCCAAATTGAGCAAGTTTGAGTTTTGGCTACGAGAAGTGAAATTTTTAGGACATGTTGTTTTTGCTGACAGTATAGCAATGGATCTATACAAGGTTGATGTGGTACTACAGTAGGAGAGACCAATGTTGATAACCAAGATAAGAAGTTTCTTGGGTTTAGCCGGTTATTATCAAAGAGTTATCTAAGGGTTCTCTCAAATTGCTTCTACCTTGATGAAGCTGACGAAGAAGGATCAGCCATTTTCCTGAATAGAGAACTATAAAGAGGAGTTTTAGACTTTGAAGAAGAAGTTGACTACAATGCTAGTGTTGACTATTCTAGATCCCAAATGGCCATATGTAGTCTACATAGATGCATCACTTAAGGGATTAGGCTTGCTAATGCAAGATGACAAAGTTATAGCTTACGTGTCAAGATAGCTGAGACTGCATGAGGAGAGTTATCTAACTCATGATCTTGAGTTAGCAGCGATTGTATTGGCCTTGAAAATATGGAGGTGCTATCTCTATGGTTCACAGTTTGAGGTATTTAGTGACCATAAGAGTCTCAAGTATTTAATTGATCAGTAGGTATTGAATATGCAACAACGAAGGTGGATGGAATTTTTAAAAGATTATAATTTTGAGTTAAAGTACCATTCAGGAAGGCCAATGTAGTAGTCAATGCTTTGAGTCACAAAACCTTACATGTTGTGTGGTTGATCATCCATAAGTACAAGCTACTAGAAGATTTCTCCAGTGAATACTAAAATAGTCCAAATTTCACCGTGTAAAACTTGAATACAATAGTAATTACTAATGAATTCTGGAAATACTTAAGGAGAGCTCACTTAAAGACAAGTATCTATTAGGAATTTGAGACGATATGGAGGCAAACAAGATCAAGGATTTTTTGTTCAACGATGATAGATTGGTAGTATATAGAGATCGGGTATGTGTACCTGATGATAAAGGGGTTCGAGAGACCATTCTAGCTGAAGCTCATCGAAGTAAGTTCACCATTCATCCAAGAACTATCAAGATGTATTAAGACATGAAAAGTCATTAGTGGTGGCCCGGTATGAAGAAAGATGTGACAGAGTATGTATCCCGATGTCTGACTTGTCAAAAGGTGAAGATTGAACACCAAAGACCCCCAAGATTGCTATAACCATTATGTTTTTATGAATTTTATTCCTACCAAGATTGCTATTTGGGTAACTGTGGAAAGATTAACTATCTACTTATTTCCTAGCTATTAGAGCTTATTATGCCCTAGAGAAGCTTCCAGAGGTCTATATGCAAGAGATTGTGAGGTTACATAGGGTGCCTAAAGAAATTGTGTCAAATTATGATCTGAGATTCACCTCAAATTTCTGGAAAGCACTACAATAGGCCATAAAGTTCAGTACAGCTTACCATCCTCAGAGAGATGGTCAAATTGAGAGGACCATCCAGACTCTAGAGGATATGCTATGTGCTTGTGCCATCGAGTAAAATGGTAGTTAGGATAAGCACCTACCTTTGGCAAAATTCTCTTATAATAATAGTTTTTATGCGAGCATTCAAATGGCTCCATATGAAGCCTTGTACGGCAAGAAGTATAGATCGCTACTTTATTAGACCGAGTTGAGTGAGAGAAGCATAATGGGTCTTGATTTGGTAGATCAAACCACTGAGAAAATTGAGACTATCCGTTAGAAGTTGTTGATTGCTCAAAGTCAACAAAAGAGCTATGCAGATAAGAGGAGTAGACCGATAAAGTTCATGGTGGGAGACCACATATTTTTGAAGGTTACACCTATGACTAGAATTGGGAGGTCTATTCGTGCAAAGAAATTGACTCCTAGATTTATTGGGCCATTCAAAATTCTTGAGAGAATTGGGCCTTTAGAATACTGGATTGCCCTACCTCCTCATCTGTCAGGTGTGCACGATGTATTCCACGTGTCTCAATTGAAGAAATATCAACCTGATCCTTCACATGTGATTGAGCCCAAGGATGTAGAGTTATGTGAGAATTTAACATATTGGGTAAAGCTAGAGAAAATTGTAGATGTTAAGGAGAAACAACTAAGAAATAAGACAATTCGGCTGGTGAAAGTCATATAGAAAGGGATGACTTCTGGTGATACTACATGGGAAATTGAAGAGAAGATGAAAAACTAGTATCATCACTTATTTCTATGAGGTAAGGTTTTACTAGCTTTACTAGATTAAATGAATTTTAAGGATAAAATTCCTAAAAGGAAGGAAGAGTTGTAATATCCTGAATTTTAATTCCCTGATTAATTAAACCTAATTAGGGTAATTAAGTAAGTTGAAGTCATGTGTGGTCAAAGAGGTCTAATAATTATATTTGATGGTATTTCAGTCCTAGTTGTGGGTTCGATATTAAGGTGGGCCACTCGAGCATCGAAAGGAGAAGAAAAGGAAGAGTTGATATTGCTGTGCCACATGCCTGGTACATAGATCATTCACCACAGCGCACAGCCATTTATAAGCAAATGAGTACCTCTCTGTGCCATGCATCACTGTGCGTTGCACATCCATCGTGGCGTATGGCCATTTTCTATAATTTATCAGATGTAAAATAAGACAGAAATAAAGAGAACAGAAAAGAGAGAAAGAAGAGACGTGCCAATACTCTACTAGGGTTTACTTGGAGATGACTTTGGGAGTATTTTAAAGGCTACAAATACCCAAGGTAAGTATCACACTCATTAATCTCCCCATTTCTTCCACATTTATGAGTTTATGGTTAGGATTTGATAGTGGAAGTAGAATTTCAATCTATATGGGTTATGGGTCCAAATTTGTTGACTTAAATGGAGTTAATAGGAGTATATTAAAGTATCTAAACCTAGGTATAATGAGTTTTAGTGTCTTAGGTTGTCGCGCACCATTAATACCTAAAAATCTCATTTATTATCAATGGTTGGAAGTTTATGATGCCATTAATAGGGATTTAATGGCCTATTAATGCTATTGGCAGTTAAAGGTAACTATTACACCCAATGATTAGGCTTCACCTCTTGTAGAATGAATGTTGGACAATTTAAAAGCAAAGATTGAGGGTTCAATGTTGAGTTTGTTATGTTGATGGAATTCAACTTTATTAATTGTAGTTTTGGCTCTTGGTCACCTATTGGATTGGAAATTCAAGCTTGAAAGCTAGTTAATTGAGGGGTAAATCTTTGACCTCTCAAAGCTTTGAGGTAACCAAGGGAAACTCTACTTCGGATAGCTATATGTTAATTGATTGTAAATTGATTATTGAATGTGAATTGTGAATGTTACATGCATGAGATTAATTTTTACATAAAACTATATATTAGTTTCAATGAGTGTATGAAAATTTGATTAAGCATAATGCTCTTTTGGCTTGAAATGCAAAATGCAAAGTTAAGAGGATTTTTAACTAAGAACATGCTCATGTTTTTGAAAAATGAATGCAATGATGAGTAGAGGTATTTATGTGTTAATGAGAAGTGGACTTTTGAGAAGTCAATTTTGAAACCAATAAGAATGATGTTGAGAAGATGATGAGAATACACATTTGGGTAGCGCATGGTCATGAGCCCAACGTGGTTGTCGTAATAACAAGTATATGGAAGCGAAAAAGTGAAAACAAGTGAGTAATTGATTATGGCATGATCAGTGGCGGGAGTTTGCCTAGGGATTAGGAGTAGAGAAAAATCTATATGGTATTTTACTACCCTCCTGTGCATAGGGGCTATAGCCTTATCCCACTGTTTGTCATGAGATTGTCACATAGTTTGTCTAAGGACTAGAACCTAGCTATCTCTACCGGTTTAATGAAAAGAATAGCCTAGGGTATGAGACACCCTAGGGATTTGAAAATGGGAAAAGCTATGGTCCGAGAGTGAGTTCTGTGATCTTTAGCCAGGTCACACCTCACAATTGGTGAGCTTAGGTAGTCCAATCATACGGATGGAGCCCTAATCAATATTATAGTCCACGGTTTTAGTCTAAGGAAATAAGGAGGATATAAGGTTGTTTGATCATTGCCTAAGTAAAGATATGATGTGTCACACGTGTTAAGTATTGGCAAGTTATATGAGTATGGGTCATGTCACATATATGAGAATATGGTGACAATGCACCTGGTTATGAAAGTTAAAGATGTTATTTAATGATAATCGACAAGTTATATTATATGCCAATATGTTTTACATACTTGATTTCCTTGTGCATGTATTTGGTTTATAATTAATATATAACTGCATAGGGTAAGTTTATCCTTAGTTACTGAGTGGCTTTACTCACCCCTTTCCTTTAACATTTTTCAGGTTTTAGCTCTGGTGTTGAGAGGAAGAAGACTAAAGAGGTGAGGAATTAGCATATTCCTACTGTATGCCTCTAGTTTAGATTTAGTTAGGTAATAGTATATATAATTTGCCAATTCTAAAATGCATATCACCATATTTTCACTATTTTGGTTGTTGGAAATGTTAAAATTGTATTTTGAGTCCTTAAACTTTATGTACATATATATATATATATATATATGTTTGTAGGGCTAAAATACGAGTGCAAGTGTAGAAATGAAGATTTTAACATGTTTGGAATGATTTGAACGAAATGCAATGACAAATTACCTTCCCTTCTATTTTTGGTAAAATGGGGTTGAGGACTGAATTTTTATTATAATGATATTTTAGTACTTGTGATGTGTTGTACTGGTAGTCATAGGTCCATTAAACATGGTCCAAGTGTTCAAAAAAGCATTTGGCACTTGTTGAGGGTTTTGAACACCCATTTTGTGTAAAAGTGTTAAAAAAATGGTTAAAATGTGTTTAGGTGTCCAACTTCCTAGTGTGACTTGTTTTGAAAGTAAAACCCATGCTATTAGTTAGTTCTTCTAAAAAACTTTCCGTAGACACCTAGATCATGTCATTCGGACGTCGGATGGAGAATTGAGGCGAGTTGAAAGTTCCCCGATTCTATTATCAAATAACAGCAGAATCAGCAAAAATTTTATGCAACACACCACAGTGCATGGCACCTGAGCCACAGCACGTGGTATAGAGAGAAATACTCCATGGCATAATGTGCACGAGCCGCGGTGTATTGCTCTGTATTACAGCACATATTTTGTTTTTCAACTGTTTTTGACTTCTTTCACTCTTCTGAGGTATCCTATCCTTTTGAAACTCATTTTTTCTCTAATATGAAAGGTTTTGATTGATTTTAACTTGTTTTTATTTAGAAAAATTAGGATCCCTTACTTTTGGATTAAATCCTGGTAATCACTTTTTGAGCTAATCCCTCAATTACCATGAGCTTTATTTATTAAGGGTGTTTAGTGGAGTAAGAACGTTTCAGAAACATCACACAAAACTTCATAACAATATCAGTTCCCAATAGAAAAGTTCATAAAGCATTGTTTAGAAACTTTAACCTCATTCCCCTTATTTAGCCAATGAAGCTTGTAAGGTTGTGGATGATCTTGTGTTGTCAACTTTAATTTCTCTACCATATAGTCAGATACTATGTTTTCACAGCTTCTACTATCAATGATGACATTACAAACTTTTTCTTAGGTCGTGCAACTAGTGTGAAAAATGTTGCATCGTAGCTAAGGTTCTTCCTTAACTACAGTTATATGCAGATTTCATCTAAGCACTAATGCTTCTCCTTGATTCATAGGTATGACCTCCTCATCATATATGAGATCAATGCCATAAAACTCAGACTCCTCCTTATCTTCTTCATGTGCTTCATATTCATGTCCTTTTTTAATGGTGATAACCCTCCAAGTAGGATAATCTGCAATAATGTGGCCAAATCCTTAGCATTTAAAGCATTTAATTGCTTTAGAGCCAAATTCCTTGGCGGCATTTTGTGATGGTTTGCGCATAGTGCTAGATTGTGACTTGCTTAAGGGGTTAGTTTACTGAAACTTTGCTTTACAGGCTTCTGGATAACCCTTAGAGGAAGAAGGCTGGAAAGAAGATCTCTTAGGCATTTGCTTCTCAACATGATGGATAGATGAATTACATCATCAAAGGTCCAATACTGCTAAAGCTAAATCGGATAGCTGATATATGTGTTTAAGCTTGTAAGGTATCGAGCTATTGTTTGCTCCTCCTTCTCTTGAATTTCACACTTCATTATATTCTCTAGTATATTCTTTTACAGATAAAGATCCCTGTTGAAGATTTTGCAATTAGAGAAAGTTACCCTAGTAGTAATGATCTAGTAGAAATTTCCTGGTGAGTTGGCATCTCATTTTCTCCCAGGTCTCAATCTTGCACTTTCCCTTTGTAACATCTTGAATTTCTTGATCCTAAGTTTAGAGATTTATTGAGGGTGAAGTGGAAGTTAGTGTCAGATTAGAGATTCAGATGATATATTGATATTTTGACTTATTTGTATGTTATGTGAGCAGATACGAGCAAGAAGAGTTTGTTTTGGGTTGAAACAAGTGTGCGTGGTGAGAATAATTCTCATTGTGCCATGCACCGTGACTTGTGCTACATGTGCCATGGCGCATGGACCAAAAAATCACTTCTTAAGTCATGAAATTGGGTGATTTTCAGAAGTGAAAATCTAAGAAACACATGAGAGAGGAGAGGTGAAGGGTTGAGAAGCTAAGTTAAGCTATTTTAGAGTGGTGGAAGGTGATTTAGATCGGTAACTTATTAGGTAAGCTATGTATAACTCTGATCTTCCATTCTACATAAATTCCTCTAAAAATGAGTTATAGGGAAATTGAATCGGTGGAATTTGAGGGGTTTGATTATTGCCCAATAGTTATAAAAAGATTCTCAAAAGTTAAATTAGAGCTTTGTGACTGGTTTAGAGCTAAATGGTATTTTAGAGAGAGAAAGTTTGGGCAAATATATGATTTAAGTGAAATAAGACCGGTTGAGGTGATGTAAAATAGTAATTGGGTAGTCATGACTTAGAATGGATAAATGAAAAAGAGTTTACGAATGAATATAGCCCTAAGTAATAAAAATGAGTTTTTGGTCAAAATAGACCAAATGATTAAAATGTACCAAATATGTTTAGATTGGCATATTGGATACGCAAGTAGAGAAAGGAAGCCTGAGATAAGCTTGTGTGATAGTTGAAATTCACGG